GTGAAAGAAGAATCGGAACAAAAGGGAAAAACCATGAGAAAGAAATAACAAAAGAAAAGGAGAGAGAGAGAGAGAGAACAAGAGAGAGAGAGAGAGAGAATTAGTATGCTTTGATCTGCATTCAGACTCCATAGTTCCTTCTCTGGATTTCACTGGATATCTCAAAGCAAAGCTGCATCATCACTATTCAGGGATGTTATGGAAAGTATTCCTGTTCAGGAATGGGCACATGACCTCTGAACCCTCCAATACCTAAATATTCATGATAAGCTTAAAAATCAAACACTTAAATGTCACATTTAAGAATATCACATGGTAAGAAATAGATGTGAGAAAATGTACACTGATAATTCTAGTCTTATAAAAAAATAAGGTTGGATTATCGGCTATCACCAGTTTTAACAGTTTTTTTAAGAATTCTCATAGATTCTTTCCAGAATCTCAGAGTCATTTAATTCAACCCCCTAACTTTACAGATGAAAAAATTGAGGCCCAGGGAGGTTGAGACTTGTCCCAGGTCACATGGGTAGTATGTGTAGGATTTGAATGCAGGTCCTCTGACTTCAAAACCAGTGTTTTTGTTCACCACCCTCTCCCCCTACCCATAAGCACCTTGAGCATGAAGGCTGTTGCATTTGACTTTGTATCCCCAGTATCAAACATAGTGGCTAATACTTTGTACGTGTTAATAAATGTTAGGACACAGAAGGTACTTAATGAAATTTCTTCATTAATGCCTCACTGTGATGAGGAAGTTACCTCGGGTTTTTGAAGACTACATATATAGAGGGCAATCTCTAGAGGCCTAATCTAATCCAATCCAGCAAGCATTCAAGGGTGTGCTAAACTAGTGATAAAGCAAGAACCATTTTCCCTTTGCCAATCTCCAATCTGACATAGTTAAGGCTCAGAAAAATCTACTATCTGACCCTAAATGGTTTTGCTATTATTTGGCTAAGTCACCATAAGAGAGAGAGAGAGAGAGAGAGTGTGTGTGTGTGTGTGTGTGTGTGTGTGTGTGTGTGTACCTGTGGGGGGGGTGAATGTGTGTACATGTATATGCATGTGCACATATACATACACATGTATGTCTAACACATGCATAATACATGCATACGTACCTATTCTATCCTTATAGTTTCACTCTTATAGAGGGAGCTAAGCAGACCTGGAGTCAAGAAGACCGGAGTTCAAATTTGGCCTTAAACACCTACTAGCAAGTTACTTAACTTCTGTCTACCTCAACTTCTTCATCTACAAAATGGAGAAAATAATTGCATCTACCTGCCAGGGTTGCTGTGAGGATAAAATGAGACAGTACTTATTTATAAAGCACTTTTCAAAACTGAAAGTGCTATGTAAATGCTGGCTACTAGCTGCTATTGAAGGACCTTCCTTCATTAAAACCCACTTCCAGAGCGACCCAGACTACTTTATTTATATATAATACTACCTGAGCAGGAAGAATATGAAGGACAAATGTGAGTATTGGGAGAAAAAGCCATTTGACCAAATATGTGTATATTTTTACCTAGGTTCCTCCCCTATAATGCTCTTGCTCCTGAAGTATAGTGTTCCTCCAAATAAAGGGAAAAAAGGATTAAGAGGTAGTAGGCCAGATAGGGGAGAATGTGGGAAATAGAGTCAAAAAGATCTGGTGTCTAATACTAATTCTAACACTTGCCTGTCCATGTGCAAGTCACTAAACCTCTCTGAGCCTCAGTTCCCTCATCTGTAAAATGGGGAAAACAATACCTGTAATACCTACTTCACAGAGCTTTGAGGCTCAAACAAGATGATCAATGTAAAACATTTCATGAGCCTCAAGTGGTACATTCCTGCGAGTTACCATTATTACCACCTCTGACCTGTCGAGAGACTGGCATATGTCACCAGAGGAGTAGCTTAAGTGTAGAAAGACTCATCACCAGAAGATAATCAGGTGATCGCTTTGTTTTTCAAAGCCACAGTCCTATGGTCTGGAGATGAAATCTGCATCAATGAAGGGAAGACTTACACTGATACCATCACAGTTTTATTCAAATACTGAAGGAGGTGGCCTTTCAAAAACGAAAAATACAGAGAAGGATCATAGGACACATGAACCTGGAAAGGAACATGGAGGCCATCTAGTCCAAGGGTGGGGAACCTGCAGCCTCGAGACCAAATGTGGCCCTCCAGGTCCTCAAGTGCGGCACTCTGACTGAATCCAAACTTCACACAATAAATCCCCTTAATAAAAGGATTTGTTCTGTGAAACTTAGACTCAGTCAAAAGGCCACAGTTGAGGACCTAGAGGGCCATATGTGGCCTAGAGGTCGCAGGTTCCCCACCCCTGATCTAGTCCAAGCTCCTCATTCTACTGGGTTCCTGAGGGGTTAATCAATAGTAGTAGAAAAAGAGATTCAGGGAAAGCTACAGCAGGGGTTAATTACTTAGGATTAAGATCTCAGGGAATCCATGAACATTTCCATAGGAAATTATTTTCAATAACCTTTGGTTACAGTTATAATCCTATGTATTTTATTTTATGCTTTTAAAAACATTCTGAGATGTTCATAGGCTTCTGGAAAGGGTCCATGATATATAAAGGGTTAAGAACTCTGGGCTTAAAATGACCCTCTGATTTTTTTCATAGGAATATTTTTCATTAAATAACTGACATAAGTAAAGAACTGTGCAGAGAGAAATATGACTTCTGATTTTTCTCCTCTCTGGCTAAACAAAACTCAGTTTCCATTATCTTAATTATCACAGGAACATATCTAAGGATAAAAGTATGTATCAAAACATTAAATTAACTCGTCAGATTTTAACAACATATAATGCATCCTTAAAAGATGTGACAGCTATTTATGTTAAAAACCCTTTTATAATAATTAGCATGTGAAGAACTAAATAAATGGCAGGGTATCTCTTACTCATGGTTAAGTCAAACAAATCTAGCAAAGACTGTAATACTTACAATCTAAATTAAAAGATTTAATAAACTACCAATAGGACCTCCCTGAGAATTAGCTAAAGTAATAAGAAAATTTGTAGAGATAAACTCACAAAAATATAAAGAACTGTGATCAAGAGAATCAGCAAAGGGGAATTGGCACGATCAAATCTCAAAATGTAGCATAAAAGCAATAATTTTTAAAAGCCGTCTGCTACTACAGTATAAAAAGTATAAAGAAATCCACCCAGTAGGACAGAGAAACCAGAAAAAGAAGCCAATAAATAGAAAATATTAGAGTTTAACAAACCCACACTTACAAAGCACTATAAGAAAGAATCATTACTCAATAAAAATTGCTAGGAAAAAAAACTAGATAGCTGCATGGCCAAAACAAATGGCTTGAGGTCAACACAACGTGAAACACATAAATTAGATTAGCAATGCAGATATTTTAAAATCTCAAAAACCTGGAAGCAAATTGGATAACATACATGTTGCACCTGTGGAGTAGAGAAAAATTTTCAGGCAAATATGAGATGGTATTCTAGACAAAAATCAACGGATTTGTTTATATGCAGCCAAGATTTTGTGGAACACAAAGTTCTATCTCCAAAAATAAAAAAAGAAACAGAATGGAACAAAATATTGGTAGTGGATACATAACAAAACAGTGGGCCAAGCAAAATCTAGAAGGAACTGATAGAGATCTATACCAGTGTGGTAAAGTCACCGCATTTTCCTCATCTGCATTTGTCTCCTCCCCAATAAATGATGGTCAAAGGATATCAACAATTAACAAGGAGGAAATATGACTGGCTAACAAGCACAGGAGGAGACATTTAAAATCCCCCAAAATCAGAGAAATACACATCAAAACTTTATAACATCACTTCACTGACAAAAAGAGCAAAAACAGGGAAAATCTAATGTTGGCAGAGCAGTGGAAGAACAGGGACTCAGATACACTGTTGCTGGAATTATAGGCTAGTGCAGACAGCCTCGATAACAATACAGCAAAGTGCAATGCCACAAAATTAAACATATATTTCAATCCAGCAATCCAACTGCTGGGACTCCATGTCAAACCAATCATAAAAAGGGGAGAAATGACCTATAGGTACAAACATTAATAGATACTGTATGAGTAAGAAAACGACCCATGTGTCTAATAACAGGAGAAATTATGCAATGTCCTGTAATTTATTATTGTACCATTAAATGTGATAAATATGAAGAAGATAAAGAAGTAGCACAGGACTGATTACTAGGACCTGTCCGCATGAGCCCTGTACCTCAAGTTTCCACATCTGCAAAATGTGGAGGTTTGACAAATGACCTCGCAGGTCACTTTCAGCTCTTGATCTATGATCTATCTTCTGAGCCCTGAGGAGAGACAGAGTGCAGTCAGAAAGACCAACACTGTGTGTGCACTGACTAAAACCACAGAAAAGAAAAAAGGAAAAGAAGAAAAACAAAGACAAGAAAAACGGGCTCTGTGGTGGCAAGCAGTCTCTCGGCTTGTTTGTTGCTGTGAGCTCATATTTTGGGAGACGGCTGACTAAAGGCTGAGGGTCTTGGGGAAGATTCAAACCTTTTTTCTGTATGTTTAATTGTTTTTGGTGATGGCTGTTAATATGTTAATGGGAAAAAAAGATGTTAATAGAAAAGAAATTAATAATCATCACTGAAATGAAAGAAAAAACTTTTAACTATATATGCTATTAATCCAAAATAATGCTAAATTATTTTGGAAATTATTCCAGAAATTAAAGTATTCATTTTTTAAATTGCCAACAATAAACAAAATCCTCACAGAATTTTAAAATTTTAACTGAATTTGCACATTTATATATGTTACTTTAAAAAAAAAGGAAAGGATAATTTCATTTGCTTGATTCTTACATCAAGATTGAAATGCATTAACCATTGTCAGTTTCCATGTTAATAACTCATGCTGTTCAAATAACAAGAAAATCAATTCTATCTAAAAACACACATATGTAACATCAATACTTATAATTAGGGAAAATTCTTTTCAAAAATGTGAAGGACATACCTGACAGGATTGCTGGTTAAGGACACCCTCAAAGACTCGAGGCAGTTAAGAAGTTTCTCTTCTGAGATGCCAGACCGTAATTCATGGATATATTCTTGGGAAGATAAGGTACATTCATGCTTGCTATTTTTCAGACCTCCCTACAAAGGCAAAGAGACATACTATTTTAGGCCAGAGTAAGAAATAAATTACTCTAACAAAACAGGAAATACTTATGCATATGATTATGTTATTTCATCACACAACTACAGAGAATGCTAGGCATATACGGAGGAGGTTTTTAATGCACGTTTTTGGTTATTGACTATTTAATACGAGTTTGATGATGTTATGTGCCTGAGAATATTCTAGTCACTACATTTCAAAGGGAAAATCATGGATAATGTTTTCAGTCTGACAGAGAATGTGGACACCTACTTTACATAAAGTGACAATATACTCTCTCAAGTGCTTGGATGAACAAATCCAGGTTTAAGATTACTCTGTCTCTGCTTCTGAAAAGTCCATCTTATTATTTTTGTAGGTTAAGAAATTTCCACTATCATTCAGTGAAATGTGATTAATATAAAACATTACATACAGGCCAAATGCATTCATTTAAATATGCCACAAGTCAAAGTGATTTATCAAAAGTAACATGCCATCTGAAAATTTACAAAGCAAAAAGCAAACTTCTTCAGTTCCAATTCAAACAAAATTTATTACGTGTTTAACTCTGTGCAAGGCATCGTGGTAGGTGCTGGGATAAAAAAGCAAAGACGAAACAATACCTGTCCTCAAGGAGCTTACAGTCTAGCGGGAAGCAACATCATGTACACAGATGTTATACATGTAAATATGTAGACACAGACATAGATATATATAGATACTGATGACATAGACAGATATAGGTATAGACATACGGACATCTATATTATATATACATACACACACACACACACAGAGGCAGCTAGGGGGTGCAGGGGAGAAAATGCTAGGCCTAGAGTCAGGAAGACCTGAGTTCAAATCCAGCCCCAGTCACTTACTAGCTAAATGTTCCTCGACAAGTCACTTAACTTCTGTCTGCCTCAGTTTCCCCATCTATAAAATGGGTACCATTATAATAGCACTTCTCTCACAGGACTGTTGGACCAAATGAGATAATATTTGTAAAGTGCTTAGCACAGTGCCTAGAACACAGTAGTTGCTTAACAATGCTTATTTCCTTCCTTTTTTTCTTATACGGACATACAAGTAAATACAACATGTGAAAATGGAGGCAGAGGAGAACATTAAAAAAGAAGAGAATTAGACAAAGCTGCAAATAGAAAGTGACATCTGGGCCTTGAAGGGACTTAGAGACTATAGGAAGTCAGAGGAGAAGAGAGAGGTTGTTCTGAGCAAGGGAGACATCTAATACAAAATTATGAAGACAGAAGATGGAATGTCATGAATGGGAAACATTCCCAGGCCGTTTGGCAGAGGGAGAGTGTGGCAGAAGCCACATGTACTAATCTAGTTTGGAACCACCACAGTTAGTCCCCATGAGCAACTGGAAATTCACCAGATAGGCCCTAAGTTTCCTGAAAAACCAACAAAACCATTGTCAAGGAAGACTTACTAAGCACTATAAACTGTGCTCGGTACTGAGGATACAGAGTCACAAAAACACAAATAAATCAGTCCCTGCCCTGAAACAGTTTAGGTTCTACTGGGGTAGGGGGGAGGGCTTGTTACAGAATAACATTGAGAATGTGACACAGACATGTACATAGAGAATGACCCTGAGACTCAAGGCTTTTAAGTGACTGACATGACTTCACAGTCATGAAATCCAGTGCAAGAGTTGGGCACCCAAGCTTAATGGACTCCCCCACTGCCAGGTGAAAAAAAAACTGAAATAAAGAAATCATTAAATGGAGATATAAAAACTAGGGACTGGTTTTTTTTTTTTAAACTAACAAAACAGACATAGAGAAACCTAGAAAACTTGTTATGAATTGGTACAGAGTAGACTGAGCAGAACAGGACAATAATGTATATAATGACTATAACACTGTAAAGGAAATTAAGAATTTCTATTAATACAATAATCATTCACGACTCCAGAAGACAATTACAAATCACGCTTGCCAGCTCTTAACACAGAGATGCTGGACTAGGTGTGCAGAATGAGAAGCGGTTTTGAAGACATGACCAATGCGTGTGTTCATTTTGCTTGATAATACGCATTTGTTACATGAGGAGACTTCGAGGTCTGTTATTTGGATTTTTTGGGGGGTGTTAGTAACAGAGACACAAAAAAGAGAAAACATCAATGAAAGTGTAAAAACAGACAAGAAAAGAGCAGAAGGGAATTCTGAGAGATACAAAGACAAGCAAGACAATTTGAGAACTACAACGTTAAACTTATTATACTCTTTTAAAAAAAATTGTACATAAGAGATTTACAGTTTTACATACAATCCTTTTCTGTTCTTTATGTAATGTACTGACCCTTTCATATGGGACCAGTTTGGTTGCTGAAAGGCGAAGGAGTATTTGTATAAAGAAAAATGATAAAAATTCACCTGCGAAGAAAAATGGGCAAGATAAAATATGAGGAGCAACACAGACTTTTCTGAGAACCATTGAGAGGACAAGCCCTTAAATCTCTTGGGAGATCCGGTTATGAACGAGGCAATGATAGCTGCAAGGCATTGTGGTCCACGTGGCCTTTCAGGTTTGCAAAGCACTTGACATATGTTATCTCAACTGATCCTCACAAAAACTCGAGGTAGGTGCTACTGTTAGTCCCATTTTTACAGATAAGGAAACTGAGGCAGAGTCGAAGTGATTTGTCCAGGGCCACAGCTTAGAAATGTCTGAAGCCAGATTGGAACTCAGGTCTTCCTGCCTCTAAATCTAGGGCTCTATCCATGGGGCCATGTAGAGCTGCTTTAAAAACAACCAACCAAATGAAAAACAACATTTTTAGAAAGTTAAAGTTTATAACTGAAAACAAAAAATTAAGTCAAACAATTGTCTGGGAACCACAGGAAGATTAAATAAAGACTGTTGGGTTCATACCTGACAAAGACAGATTTATTTCCTGAGTTTCACCTCATAAGGGAAAGGCTTCCCTCCCTGGAAAATCCATACATGCCAGCATGAGTGCAGAATGGGTGAGCAGGACCCTCCCAAAGGAGTGGGAGTTCGTGCCATGCTTGGCCTACACTTACATATGGAAAAGACTGTGTTTGATAATGTTTAACAAGTTCATAATAATAATTTTTAAAGATATTTTAAATGACTAAAAAAAGTCTAGGTGAGTAGTGATAAGGGACTGAAAAAAGAGGCCAGCCATGTGAGTAGAGGGAAGTAGACAGAGGCACCTGATGTAGAAACAGAAAGATCTGTTAACTGATCACTTATGTTGGGTGAAGGAAGTTTATGAACCTGGGAAACTAGAAAAATGGTAGTAACTTAGAAAGAATTAAGAAAGTTTGGAAGAAAATTGGGTTTGAAGGGAAAATAATGAGTTCTCTTTTAGACACGGTGAATTTGAGATGTCTCCAGGACATCCAGCTTGATATACTCAGTAGGCAGCTGATGCTGTGCGATGAAGGCTCAGGGGAAAGACGGGAGCCAGTTATATGGATCTGTGAATCATCTGCACAGTGATGACGAAAACTCTGGAAGCTGAACAAAGTCACAAATGGCAAAGGTATAGAGAGAGCCCAGGATGGAACGTAGGGGAATACCGACAGGTGAAGGGTTTATCCGTGATTATAATGTGACTCCATTTCTCCTAAAGTCCATATTTTATTTCATTGCTACTAACTTAGAATATTATATATATACAGGATTGAGAACTTAAAGGAGTCTTAGAGATCATCTAGCCTGACCCCAATTTTACTGCTGAGGAAACTGAGACCTAAATCAATTAAATCATTTATACAAGGTCACATAAGTAGCGGAACCAGAATCTTAAACTAAGGTCCCCTCTGACTCTGAGTCCAAAATTCTCTTCCTTATTTCATTATATAAGCAGCCAAAGATGGAAAGGATAGTGAGCGTTAATGAAGAATGATTTATGAACCCAATACTGTCAATTCCACACATTCCCACAGCCACAGGGGGTGTTTGACACAGGGGGCAAATCTATTTTTTGAACCTAGGCAGAAGGCAAAATGAGAATAGGGGTCAGTAAGTTTTACAGATTGGTTGACTTGAAACATTTTCAATAGGTCACATATCACAAGTACATATACTAGATAGGACTTAAGAAACATTAAGTTTTACTGAGTTATACAAAGGAGGAAACTGAGGCCCACAACATTTCAATGATTTATTCAAGACCTCACAACTATTCTGCAGCAGACCTTGGAATGGATCCCACAGGCACTCCAGTGCGCAATGAGCCTATCCTGCTTCATCATGTTCAATTATATATATGCTTATCTACATATATACATACCATATATACATATATACATATTATATACATATGTGTGATATATATATATATAAAATGAGCCTACACTGCTTTATCATGTTCAATTATATATATGATATATACTATATATATCATATTATATAAATTTTAAATCTCCATCACAAAAAAAAAATAAGGGATCTGGAGCCTAATCAATAAGGTTAAAGTTTTTTTAAGGTCACCTAATAGCAAAGGAATACAATAAATTAAAGTCTGGCTATTTTTACCAGGGCTGTAATACAAGACTGGCTTCTTATTAACATCCTGTTCTGATACTTAACAAAGGAAACAACCAGATAATGGATGGATAATAATGGAAATTTTAATTAGCTGCTCTGTATGAGATTAATGAAAATTACCACTGTGCCCATTTGATCTTTAAAAAATAATGCAGACAAAGTTAGCAATTAGTATATATCATGCTTTTCCAAAGCTAGGTGAACAAAAAACTTTCCTAATTTGAAGCTATTCCATAATTTGAAAATTATTAGGATAAAGGTATTTGTCAGCATAATAATATGTATACTTTTACATTATAGTACACAAAGAATCTAAAGGTATTTGGGGTCAACTGAGTAATCCTTTTTGATTAACTTAATTTCTGATTCAGTATGTTAATGGCAAATCTTACAAAAACAAACAATATTCTCATGGAAGGAAGGTTCTCAAGTTTGGATTACTTCT